TATGATTTTGTCTCGAACGATTTATAACACTGTTGATAATGTGAAACAAAGGTAACATGACAGTTCAAAACAAAAAATTGACCATATGCAATTTCAGAAATACTTTTCATTACTATTGTATCATTATCTATTTATCACTATTTGCTCTACTTAGGAATCACAGAGGAAATTCTAATCTCGTTACGACGGTCGTATGACACTACAGATGAAAGTAATTCATACCTGTATAGTGACGTGCACTATTGATTCTCTATAAAATCTTCGTAAGTTTTGAAAAAGTCGGTTGTGTTTTGTTTGGTGCAAATCTAAAAGAAATTTTTATGTAATCAAATAGATTTTTAGAAATCATTCGGGGTAAAATCGAACCCATCATAGAGGTCGTCTTATGACTTTCGGAAAAGTGAAACTGTATTTAAGACGAAAAATCATTTTAATTATCGCATAATTGTTTCGAATATTTTCTACTCAATTTGATGCAAAGTTAATGATAGTTGTGCATGAAATGAAACTAAAAATCAATAATAGATTGTTGATCTCAGAAATGTTTTAAGAGCGAAAAATAAAGTTTTTTTTTAAGTATTAAGAAGATCTTTTGTCTACAAATTGTAAATAAGCGAAATGATTCAATAATACCATGACGATGTTTAAATTAACTGGAGATGTTCAGACATATAGACAATAAAAATTAGAAGAAAAATTGTTTAATGGATTCTAAAAGAAATTGTATGAGTGAAGAAAATATCTTATCCTGTTTAGTTTAATATTCAGAAAAAAATAAAATTATCATTTTAACAATTTTAATTACTAATGATAAATTAACTTGATCGGATTTAAAGTTAAAGTATTTAATTGCAATTTTTTTTCTTGTTACTCCACTTCCATCAGCTGACTTTGAAAATGTTACAGCGATAGAAAACATTAGTTTTATTTTTTAAATCTTATTGATATTATCTTCAATTTTAATAGGATTCAAATATGGTGAAAGTGTTTTTTATCCTATTCTGTCAATATTAATTAGCTGGATGCAAAGAACTCTTTAGAAAACTTTTCCCCGGATATTGCAAAAGTTTTTCTTTTGAAAATATTCTTACTGAAGAATGATCTATGATTCTAAGTTTACTCTGTTATACGACGGAGAATTTCCACGCATTTGTTCCAATGCTTCTTTTGAAATATTAATAAATGTGAAAGAAATTTTGAATTTATCATTCGAACCTTCATTTATAAAATACTGTTTCAGATGTTTTCTTTTTAAAGTGATTTATCACAGGCTTTGTTTTCTAAAACGATTGTAGACTGTTCGAATTGTTATAAGAATCTTTGTTAGTGTGACTTCATAAAGGACGAAACTGTGAAACTCAAAAACTTTGATTGTTAAAAATTTATAAGATATTGTCAGAGAAGTTAAAATAAATTTATTGAAATAATAGTGTCAAACAAATGAATACATCAAACTGATAAGAATTTTAATTGTTAACTAATTCATTCTGAAATTTTATTATTTCCAAGTTTTTTTTAATTTTAAATTATTATTTTAATAATTTATTAGATTCATTTCATGTGTTTATGTTGAAAAATATTTTCCTTCTAATGATGAAACATATTTTAATACGTGTCATAGAAAGAGATCATTATCATTTTATTCTTCGTTTTATGGGTTCAACCACCATATTAGGATGTGAGGAGAAGAAAACATTAGAGAACTCCAATCCGCAGATTGACTATTCGTGTACTAGTGCGTCATACGAATTTAAAAAAATCTTATTTTATATTTATTTAGCCGAGTTAAATAAAATAGTGAATCGTCCAGATAGTTTAAAAAATCCAAAAGATTGGCATTAAAATAATGAAGCAGGAAAGAAAATGATACATTTCAAATTCATTACTAAATATGTCGCTTTTAATTGTTGAATTTGAAAAGAAAACAATTTTTATGTCCGCTTCATCATCCGAACTGCCAATTTCTTCGTTTTTTTAATATAAAATTCACAAAAATAATGATATTTTGAGTTAATAGATTCTATTCTAAATTGCGATCACAGGAATGGGTCCGAAAAGTTGCCCCTATGCGCTTAGTAACTTCTAATCAACATCTTGCAATTTTGAATCAATAAAAGATTTATTTGATTGTTAGTTAATTTATTTTTATATGCTTCATTATCATTATTTGAAGATCAGTAGATCAAGTAATATTAGGTTATTAAATGAGTATGAGATTATTTTCATGCCATAGAGAATATATGGCTTATGTCTTCTTTTATTTGACTATGATTCTCTACGAAGGTTATTTTTCTCATTGTATTCTTTTAGCATAGATCTATATAAAAATATTCTCCTTTTCACGTGAATATTAATTAAAACCTAATTAGCGAATATCTCTCTAATCATGTAGGGGAAAAAATCATTTTTCTAGAGACCCCATTTAATGCTGAAGCAATGATTTTCTCTTATCATCATGTGGACACTCTGAGCAAGGATTTGCATAATTTAGAATCGTCTCCGTACTGATCATTCAATTAACAGAGCACTTTTTCGCTTATGTTTTCATACTCGATCACATCGATAAGGAAAAGAAAATCGTGTTTTTTTTAAATTTAGGTATAGAGATTCTTAAGCCTCGGGAGTTTTCTAAAATGATGCATCCATTGGAAATTTTTAAAACTAAAATGCATAAGGTGAAAGTCAGTGTCCGCTTCAATACCCCGCCACTACCGTTTGTTTTTACAGAAAACTCCTCTGGACAAAGGTTCACAGTGCTGACTTTTCAAAAAATCTAGATTGACTTAACATACATACAACGTATGAAAACTAGTTCTAGAAAAACTCAAAATTTCGAGATACATATAAAGTATGGATCCAATTTACAGCGAAACTCTCAGTACATTGAATTGCCATTAATTTCTAAAAAAATTAACTAAAAACTTGATCGATCCGCGAATAACCGATGTGATTTTTCTTTTTTGCTATTTTATTTCATAAACACGATTATCTTGTTAATCAACTATAATTAATCAAAACCCTCAAATGATTTTAAATTAATAGCAATAATACAAATTCATCGAAAACTAGTAAATAAACAATGATATGTAAACCCACATATCGACCTAAAAAAGCAAATACTTCAGGTGTGGGTGTTGAAAATTGACATTCAAACCCACACCCATACCCACACCACCCACACACCCACACCCACACCCACACCCACACCCTGAGACTGACGCTCTACCGACTGAGCCACCACGGCGGCAACTTATTGACATCATGTTTTACACATGCAGTGTCCAGATTTCAGAAACAGAAGTTGCGTTGAGTAAAGGAAAGTTTTATTATTTGGTAAACATGTATCGAATGAAGCACAGTGTAATATTGAATTCAGTTGAGTAATTCGAGATGCAGTAAAATAATATCACCACTTGTATGATTTCTTTCTATGATCGAATAGTTGAACGCTGGCTTTCAACTAGGATTTCATGAAAAAAACAGAACTGAAGAGGGTCAACTTAAAAAATAAAAAGAACAAAAAAGGACTACTCTTGTTTCAATCCTCAAAATCATGAAAGAACACTCATAGTGAGAGAAAAGCTTCTAATTCATAAAATTGATCAATTATCGATTTCTGCTTGACAGTGGCTTTAAATATGTTTAAAAGAGAACATTTATTACTTAGTTCGCATACATTTTTATTCAATTTCTAATGCACATAATAAAAAATGAAAAATCTACACAAATATAAGACAAAAGTTCGAATGTCTATAAAACTATTGTAACGATGCAGTTGATAAAGCATGAAACACCAAAAGTCAATATACATATAAAGCAGTCCTTTTTAAATCAATTATTTTCTGTTTCCTTTATGATTTTATAATTTGCAAGTGATTGTTCAAGTGAAAAAGTGTTTGGTTTTGATTGCCTTGGGCTTTTAATATGGTGTGGGCGTAGGTGTGTTGCGTGGCTGTGGCTGTCACGGTGGGTGTTATTGATGCTTATCCATCCAAACCCACACCAACACCCGCCCACATTGGAGCCAACTATCACGTTTCTTTTGAACACGTTCAATCGACAAGCTAGAAATCATGTCTGTCTATGTACTCTACGTGTTCATATATATATATATATATATATATACAGGTTATCTATCGATCTCCGCAAGCAGTAATCTAAGTCATGAGATAGCTATCAATTTGCTTGATAGCAAGGACAGAGGAATTCTCTTCTAGGTGAATGTGCACAAACTGCCGAAGTATACTGCAAATATTGGGTGTGGGTGCATACTGTGGGCTCCGACGATATGATGAGTGTAGGTTTCGCTGTTATTGATGCACCCATGCAACAACTATATTCACCAATAGTCACACCGACCCAAAACCCACACCCATCCAGCATCTCAAAAGTCACATCGAAGTATTTCAACCAACACTTAGTGTGATCCGAGATGCTGTCAAGGACGAAGCAGCAACAAAATCCTTATAAATTTCACAATCAACAATTAAAGAAAGACTCATTTTCCCACTTTTTTCCAATTGCACATCCATGTAGTGTTTAGTTTTTAGTCATTCTAGGATCTCATATATATATATATATATATTAGAAAATAAAAATTAGTATTTCAACACAATGTAATCGTAAATCGCTTCAGAATGGCACAGTGTCAAATAGTATTGATGTGCCATCTACAAGAAAAGTATCCCAAATCTTAATAGAAGACAGTGGAATTTTTAAAAGATCTTCTGCAGAAACCAAGGTTTTTCACACTTTATAGGCTGAAAGGATGATCATGATTCGAAACCAGGATGGGGTGCGGGTGTAGCTGCGTGGATCAACGTTATACTCAAAAATATGCACACCGAAATCTGAGTATTGGTTAGAAATATAGCATAAGAATGTGAATGCTGCTATTGTTTTCAAAACAGGACTAAACTAGTGGACGGTTTCCGATTTATTAAAAAATCAGATAAAAACAATTTATTGTTTTGTGATATGAGTCCATCAGTATTGACAGATTAACCAGAGTTGTAGGCAGCAATTTGTTCTGGAGTTAGCACACCAGCTCGACCAGCTTTCTGTATAAAGTCTTGTATTGATTGCTTAATAGCACCGCTTCGACTTTTAAATTTCGAAGAATATCCTACAATGGTTTTTGATACATGATCGCACGAGAATTTTCCGTTATATTTCCATTGCCAATTATGGAAACCTCCCTTATATTCCCCGATACATGTTCCCCGAAATGCTGGAATCGTTTGTCGTCCATTTTTCCATCCAGAGAGGTTAGTTATCCAGTTATAAAGAGCATTGCCAACACTTACACTGCAAGATACCCAGTTTTGTGATGCACACGCACTTACATCAATCCCTTTGCCTTCTACAGACGTAGCTGTTTCTGCGCAAAAAGACGAATGCAAAGCTGCAAATATTGTAATAAGCACGATGATCATTTTGCTTGCCATGTAATAGTATTAGCTCGGTTGTATGTTACACGAAGCATCTATTTATATTGGAATTACTGCAATCAGTGCTGTTCGACGAAATTAAGCTACTTTAGATAATAGTCATATTAGAAAAAAATTGAAAGTATTTATCACAACATGAGTGCTTTATCAATTAAATTCGTTTGTCTTTTCGTTATACAATTATCTTAATTCTTGAAGATTAACTTTATTCAATCAATATTTATTGTTTTCTGTCAAACTAAAAAGATAAAACAGATTTCATAGAATGAGAGACATGTGAGAGTAACTAGAATGATGGGAAATTCATAATAAACGGCTTCGGCTTATTGTTTTACTTTGTTGTGATACCATTTCGTTATTTAGCGTAGTTGTTTGATAAACTTCATCATCATTAGGTAGTGCTTTTATTAAAAAGCCTTATTTGTGTTGCCCATGTGAAAATTTTTGCATGCGTAAGCTAATTTCAAGCGCTTAAATAAGCTTACCATTCAATTAAGCGCTTTAAAGTGCTTAAACATTACTGTTTTAAGCTGCTGAAAATGACTTGAATCAATTAAGCCGCTGAATACAGCTGAGAATGCGGCTTGTGAAGCACTTTTCAGCACTTATAAAGTGGGAAGCTGAAAAGTTCTGTCAAACTTTATAATTCTCAGCGCTTTTCAGCACTTATAAAGTGGGAAGCTGAAAAGTGCTGTCAAACTTTATAATTCTAAGCGCGTTCCAGCACTTGTAAGAAAGAAAGCTAAAAAGTACTGTCAATTTTTATCTTTATAGTCTTGAACTTGCTGTCAGCTTTCATATTTCAAAATGAACTTTCCACTGAAAATTTCGTTGGATGATTTCATATGATTTCTGTTGATGATTGATTCTAGTAGATCAACTCCTATGTGAGAGTAGTGAGTACATAATCATCTTTTTTATTTATGCTTGAGTAGAATATAATATAGTTGAATCAATAATCAAGAATGTTCTTCCAGATTAGGGAATCGAATAAATGTTGCACGACCGTTTGACTCCAAATAAAAAACACACTTTTCAATTGTTTGCTCTGCTTTGATTATACAGATAGTTGTTCCAGAATTAATCATTCCAATTTCAATTTCATCGTAATAAAATTGCTCGTCACTAACTTCGCAGATAAAATCAGAAGAGTTCGATAGTGAGAACACTTGAAATAGTACTTCTCCATCATCTAAAGTAAAAATTCTATGAATACGGCCAAAATGAACTTCATCGCCAGTTTTGTAGACAATTGAAGAGTCATCAGTCGATTTATTGTGACAGTAGCTACTGGTTGTAAATCTAGTTTTACCGATGAATGCTGTTAAATAATACGTGATTTTACTGGAAAATAAAGTAGATATTCTTGAAGGTGTGAGTGTGGGTGTGGGTGTGGACTTGACTATATTGATCGTCACCTACACACCCACCCACACCCACACCCACACCCACACCCACACCCACACCCACACCCACACCCACACCCACACCCTCAAGATGGTGCAAGTTGTAGGTCGTTAGCTACTCTCATCTCTCAGATATAGAATGAACAAAAGTTTTCCACTAGGTGGTCGGACAATTTTGACAGCCACTGTATATCTTCAACACATGCGATTAAAATCGATTATACAGTAAGAACCAATACCCATGTGAAAATAAATCGCAAAAATCAAGACTTTTTGCGATTTAATTTCACATGGGCACACACACACACACTGTTTACATCATAAGATACATAATATAGAAACAGCAAACAACAGAAATATGTAAAGTTAAAGAGGCAAATTAACAAGTTTGCAAAAAAATGTTTAAATCATTAGTGCCATAGTTGGCGACTGCAAAATCCAGCTTTCTGTCTTTATTGAAATCCCCAACCACAACAGAGAATGGTAAGGATTCATAATTGAGCAAGTATACTTTTGAAACTCTCAAAGTACCATCGCCATGCCCAAGAAATATAGCTATATTTTTTCCCAGGCGATTAGCGACAATAATGTCTAGTACGGCATCATTATTAAAATCGCCAATAGCAACTGAACAAGGTTCAGAATTACTTTCAATTGAATACGTCGTTTGAGTTGCCAAAGAGCCATTACCATAACCCAGAAACACACTGATACTACTATCATTAGCATTAGCAACAATAATATCTAATCGATTATCGTTGTTTAAATCACCAACAACTAAAGAACATGGGACAGAACCAGTGGAATATGTTGTTTGATTTGCAAAAGAATTATTGCCAAATCCAAGAAAAATGCCAATATTATTAGTGCCTGAATTCAGAACAGCAATATCCATATGAGTGTCGTTGTTAAAATCGTCAACGACAAATGCGCGTGGATGAGACGTGTTACCAGTTATGAGCGTCGTTAGGTATTTAAAATTCTTATTGGCGTAACCAGAAAATACATTTATAGTGCTGTCGTACCAATTAGCAACAACGAAATCCAATTGAGTGTCGTTGTTGAAATCAGTAACAGCTACAGAATTCGGACCAGATCCAGTTGAATACTTGTATAAGTTTGCAAAAGATCCGTTCCCAGAGCCGAAAAGGACACTCACAGTGTCGTCTCCGTTATTAGCAACAAGGATATCCAGTCGACCGTCGTTGTTGAAATCACCAACAGCTACAGACACTGGAAAGAAGCCAGTTGAATATGTTCCTTGTTTTGAGAAAGATCCATTGCCATATCCGAGAAATATACCTACACCGCTGACAGAAGAAGAAGCAACGACAATATCCAACCGAGCATCGTTATTGAAATCCCCAACAACGACGCAGCGTGACGAACTGTTAGTTGAATGTTCGATTCGATTTGCAAAAGATCCGTTACCATGTCCGAGAAGCACACTTATAGTATCGTCACCATCATTAGCAACAAGGATATCCAGTCGATCGTCGTTGTTCAAATCCCCAACAGCGACGAAATGTGGCGAACGGCCAGTTGAATATTTGATTTGATTTGCAAAAGATCCGTTACCATGTCCGAGAAGCACACTTATAGTATCGTCACCATCATTAGCAACAAGGATATCCAGTCGATCGTCATTGTTGAAATCCCCAACAGCGACGGAGGCTGGTGAAGGGCCAGTTGAATATTTGATTTGATTTGCAAAGGACCCATTGCCGTATCCGAGAAGTACACTTACAGTCTTGGAAGCAGGAGTAGCAACGACAATATCCATGTGAATATCGTTGTTGAAATCGCCAGCAGCCACAAAATATGATGAAGAGCCAGTTGAATACGTAAATTGTTTTGTAAATAAGGCAGAATCGAATACCACAAATATATCTATATTATCATTATTGTTATATGCCGAAACAATTTCTGATTGTCCATCATTGTTGAAATCGCCAGCAGTGACAATTGAAGGAGCTACTTTCAAGCTTGACGTATAAGTTGATTGATGTGCAAATGCTCCATTTCCATTTCCAAGAAACATATCGATGTTCTTAATAGCATTATTGGCTACAGCCAAATCCAGTTGATTGTCTTTATTGAAATCACCAATGGCAATTGAATATGGATTTGAATTTGGGCCTGTTGAAAATGTTTTTTGTCTTGAAAACGATCCATCACCATACCCAAGAAGTGTACCTATATTATCAGTTCCATAATTAGCGACAACAAGATCTAGAATCTTGTCATTGTTAAAATCAACGACAGCAACATATTCTAGGTCGGAAGCAATATTAGATGTAAATTTGATTCCGTTTCCTAAAAATCCTTTCGCATAATGAAGCAATACACCTACATTACTGTAAGCATCATGAACAACGACGATATCCAATCGAGTATCGTTGTTAAAGTCACCAGCAGCTATGGAAGATGAACTCGAACCGATTGAATACTTTATTTGATTTGCGAAAGACCCATTACCAAATCCGCGCAGTAAACATACATTATTGTCAGCAAAAAGAACAACGACAATATCCAATTGAGTGTCATTGTTGAAATCACCAACATCTACAGACATTGGATAGGAGCCAGTTGAATATGTTTCTTGTTTTGTGAAAGAGCCATTGTTATATCCTAGAAATATACCTACATTGTTGTCCCAAAAACTAGTAACGACAATATCCAACTGAGCATCGTTATTGAAATCCCCAACAGCAATAGAGGATGGCCAACGACCAGTTGAGTAGTTGATTTGATTTGCAAAAGAACCATTACCATGTCCGAGAAGCACACTTATAGTATTGTCATCATAATTAGCAACAAGGATATCTAGTCGACCGTCGTTGTTCGAATCTCCAACAGCGACGGAGTATGGCAAATGGCCAGTTGAATATTTGACTTGATTTGCAAAGGATCCATTGCCGTATCCGAGAAGTACACTCGTAGTATTGTCGCCATAATTAGCAACAACAATATCCAGTCGTTCATCATTGTTGATATCACCAACAGCTATAGACCGTGGAAGAGAGCCAGTGGAATGCTTGATTTGATGTGCAAAAGAACCATTACCAAACCCGAGAAGCACACTTATAGTATTGTCATCATAATTAGCAACAAGGATATCCAGTCGATTGTCGTTGTTCAAATCCCTGACAGCGACGGAACATGGTGAAGGGCCAGTTGAATATATGACTTGATTTGCAAAGGATCCATTGCCGTATCCGAAAAGTACACTTGTAGTATTATCGCCATAATTAGCAACAATAATATCTATTCGGTCATCATTATTGATATCACCAACAGCTACAGACTTTGGAAAAAAGCCAGTTGAATACGTTTTTTGCGTTTGAAAGCCTTCATCATAACCAAATAGAAGACTCATGGTGTTAGTATCATTGCTGGTGATAATAACGTCTAGTAGATTATCTTTATTGAAATCAGCTACTGCAACTGAAGTTGAAGAGGAAGATCCGGTAGAATTCATTACTGGATCGAGAAAGGTTCCGTTCCCAAGTCCTAATAATATACCTATGTTATAAGTACCTTTAGTAGTGACGACTAAATCAAGTCGATTATCTTTGTTGAAATCGCCAAGACCAATAGAATATGGAGAAGTATTAAGCGAGTATGTTATTTGACTGGTAAAAGTTGCATTACCGTCACCCAGAAGTACAGCAATATTGTTATTTCCATAATTAGCAACGGCAATATCTAACATATTATCATTGTTAAAATAGCCAACGATGACCGAATATGGATGTGAATTGATACCAGTTGACAATATCTTTTGTTGTAAGTAAGTTCTGTTACCGTTTGCCAGATGTATTCCTATATTGTTTGTACCATAATTAGCAATGATAAGATCTAAGTGATTGTCATTGTTCATATCTCCACTGACGGCTGAGAATGGCGAAGAATCATAGCCTGTTGAATATGTTATCGGATACGAAAAATTGCCATTTCCAAAGCCATAGAATATGCTTATACTGTTGGTGCCATAATTAACAGTAACAATATCAAGAAAAGTGTCATTATCGAGATCAGCTAAGTGAATCCAGATTGGACGAGATGAACCAGTTGAGGTTATGTTTTGGCTTGCAAATGAACCATTTCCAAATCCTAAGAATATACCTATACTGTTAGTGCCAAAATATGCGACAGCAATATCCGCCTGATCATTGTTGTTGAAATCACCAACCGCCACCATGTATGGAGCAGAATATAAGCCAGTCGAATATTTCATGTGATTTTCAAAAATGCCGTTATTATAATCAAGAAATACAGATATACTATCGACAACACGATTGGCAACAACGATATCTAACCACTTGTCATTATCATTGTTGAAATTGCCAACAGCAACAGATTGAGTATCAGAATTATATTCAATTGGATTTTTGATTGTTTTTGTAAAATTCAATTGACACTTTTGGACTAAATGAAACGAGAGAAATGATGTAAATGTTGATCAGTTGCTATGATGTAATCATTCGTATTGAATTATATCAAATTTCTAAAATAGATTATCGGAAGTTTTCGCATTATATGACATTTGGATTCGATCGATATCAATTTAATGTCATAGAATCTTCTCTATTTTTTTTAGAATTCAAATAAAGTTAAATGAAAATATTAACAATATAGATCAGAGATGATCACAGGACAGGACGGTCCTACTGTCCTGTCCTGTAGGATAGGAGGTGATTTTGATTTTTGTCCTGTCCTGCCGCCTGCCAGGACAAAGGTAACGGTTAGAACAGAAGGGAACAGTACAGAAAAATTTCTCGTGTGAACTTTCTCGTTCTATTGTTATTGATATTTTTTTTAAACGACTATCATTTTCGATACGTCATTTTTGAACACTCGACGTATGTGATGAGTGATAGATATCGCTTTGAGAATGATTCATAACACTAATTCAAATATCCGTTGAAGAAAAGCTACCAATTAATATGTAATTATTGATGATTCAGAAATTTTTAGTCAGCATACAAAGAGAAAGCAACACGAAACAAATTTTTTTTGTTCTTTTCACCACGAATGCCTATTATTTTACTTTGTATTTTATATTTCGATTTATTGAATCTCAAAATAAATATTTAGCATGAGCAGTAGTAAAACTTCATCATCGTCGAACACATGAAATTTCTCCAATGTTGACAATGATCTAAATATGAAACTCATAAAAATAATGTTTTGTGAGAAAAAAAGAATCCTGAACAGTATTGATAGGTCTGTTGGAAGTCTTTCGCTATCCAGAAAAATTAGTTGAACATGGTACTGTTCAAAGAATGCCAGGATATATTAGTTCTTTCAATTATTACAGTACATTTATTCATGAAAATAGTTGTTTTTTGTGATAACAGTTTAAGCAGTTGCTACGTTTCATAGAGAATACCTAGTATAACATAAGATAATGATATTACAATGAATCATGTTCATTTTTTCTGTATTTCTTGCCATAAATGTACTGTCAAGATATAACACTTGGATTCTCTTATATTTTGTTGTACTTATAAAATAAGTGATGATCTAGAGTAGATTTCTTGTATTTCATGATAGGAAGTTATTACTTAGGTCTCACGTGAATCATAATAATATTTGATTTGATTTGATCAACGACAGAGATGTGCCCAAAGAAAAAAGTGGGAGATCCTAAGTATAAATTCCTGTGCACTTCTACAAAACAAATTTCTTATATTGATATTTTAAAATAAACGCTCTAGTACAGATTTACTTGAGCAATTCACTACTTTTGAAAAATGGGAGGATCCGGACCTCTATTTCCCCTTCCGCAGATCCCTGATAAACGATAGTCAGATTAACAACTCTCCGTACAGAATCTCTGTCGTTCGAAAAAAGAGGAATAAATTAGCAAAACAAAAACTAGGATAAAGCTTTCGTGTATTATCCTATCACCCGTTGGGACGCAAAAATTCAGCAGGACAGGACACAATTTTGATTTTTGTCCTGTTCTGCCGCCCGCCAGGACAAAGACGTCATCAGCATAGAGCAGGACAGGATGAAAAATCTTGTCTTGTGATCATCTCTGATATAGATGACGCACCCTTTCACTTTAGTGCCTCAAACTACCTGTTTTAGCTGAATTTTTCTGCTCAGCCACATACTTTCTTTTGTAAAACTATGTTTAGCAATAAATTTAACACAATGATAAAATTTTTAAACTGTTGTGAAATTATCGATAGTTTTCGATTGATAAATATAGAATTGTTGATTTTTAGTCTTCTTCTTCAAAAAAAAATACACTAGTACTATTTATTATTTTATCATACTATCACTAAGAATGGACAGAAAAATCTTATAAAATAATGTAATAAATAAAACTAAATTTATACCACTGAATGTAACACTTTAAGCTCCTCGCCCTTCTCCCCTCTCCCCGTCAAAATAAGCTCGCTCCCCGATGTTTTTACTTCGTCATCTTGTTAAAACACGATCTCCGCCCTAATACATCTTATATGTGGGTCACTCTGAAAGTTTCGGGATTCTTGATTAATTTAAGATATCTGAACGACTTTGGTAGTTGCAGTAGTAGCTCCAAGTCTTACAAGAAAGTCCACAAAGTTTAGGCTCTTGAACGTTTTTCCCTTTGTTTTTCTTATAGATAAATTGATATACTACTAACACATTTTTTGTGTACTCAAAACGTCAGTACACTCTAGAATCGGTTAGTGTGTCTGGCCGTTAACACGAGAACTTTTGAAAGAAGAGTCCGATCGTCATGAAATTTTCTACACAGTTCAGTCTTAACAAGGTCTCGGTCGAGTTCAAAGATGAGCAGGATCCGTAACGAAATGGCTGAGTTATCGAAACAAATTGTCATTATTGACCAAACCATCCCTGAGGGAGGTACGAGGATTTTTTTGAAAAAAATTTTTTCTCATAATTATTTACAACTTGTATCAATTAACTCAGTTTTTAATGCTGATTCAGAATCTGATATTAGTTTTGAACCAAACTGTAGCTTTCTAACAAAACATTCCATGAAGAAGGTCTCAAAATGCCCAAAAACTGCATCCAGAAAGCAAATTGCCTAGATGTGTCTCAGATGATCAGTCGTTTTTGGGTTTCTCAAATGCCTGATTTTGTAGCTAGTCAAAAGGACTATCGAAAGGTAAAAACTCGAACTCGATAGCTATTAATAATGGTGATTTATTAGAAAAATACTGATGTCCGTGTCTCTGATATATCTCTTATAGATTGATGAGGTAGCTTACGGTCGTAATCCTACTATATACAAACATAAGTCCATTGAAAATTAACTCTTCTTAGCCAATTTGCCAAGGTAAACACGAATCTTAACTGAATTCGTGTGATTTCTAAAGATATAATATCAGTGTGAGAATTGAGTCTTTGGCCACTGAATAGAGTTGCATAGAGGCTAGTCCATGGTAACTTAGCACTCCTGTATATTTTCGTTGCAATTTAGTGATAAAAAACACAGTGAATATATTTTTTCACTTTTGAAGTACACATAACACTCAGATTTAAACCCGAGCTTTTCGCATTTATTTCTTATTACTATAGATCTTACACGTAGTCAAATTCGAGTTATGATTCATTATGATTACAAAAAAAAATGGTCACAGGAAGGATGCCTGGAATCTTCACAGAAAACATTTGGTGATTCTTGTGTTTCACGTACAACAGTTTACAGGTGGTATGCTGAATTTAATAGTGGCAGAAATCACTTTGAAGATGAACGCCCTGTCGGTCGACCGAGCGGTGCAGTGACTCCAGAAAACATTGAAGCTGTCCGTCAGCTGATCAATGATGATCTACACATTACATATATCAACAGATACAGGATACCTTGCAGATTGGATCGGCAGCAACTGAAACTATTCTACATGATTATTTAGGTTTAAGAAAGATTACATGTCGGTGGGTGCCACATTTTTTAACTGAAGCTCAAAAGCAGGATCGTGTTGATTATTGTCAGGCAATGCTCGAAAAGTTCGATGGTGGAAGATCAAAACGTGTTTATGACATTATTACTGGTGATGAAAGCTAGTTTTACTATTATGATCCAGAGACGAAACGTCAAAGTCAAGTTTGGGTTGCAAGAAATGATCCTCAGCCAACGAACGTTCGTCGACAACGTTCTTTTGGCAAACTTATGTTTGCAATTTTCTTTATGAAACCTGGTTTTAATACAATCATCCCTCTTGAAAGTGATAAGACAGTTACAGCTAAATGGTATACAGATGAATATCTTTCATATGTTTTAAAACAAGTGAAGAAACGCTGACGTCTTAATGATCTTATTATTCACCATGACAATGCATCAGCTCACAAGACAACACCAACGATGGAATTTTTAAATGCTCAACGTGTTAAACTAATGGGTCATCCAACGTATTCACCAGACTTAAGTCCCTGCGACTTCTGGTTATTTCCAAAAATTAAAGAACAACTTTGTGGAAAAAATTTCAAGGACATTGATGAACTTCATGCTACTATCTAAGAACAAATGGACAATCTCCAAAAAGAGGATTTCTACCAATGCTATGAACTGTGGTTCGAAAGAATGAATAAGTACATTAGTGCACAAGGACATTACTTTGAACAAATATAATAAAATTATTTTTAAATTGAGCTATCAGTATTGCAAATCCCGAAACTTTCAGAGTGACCCACGTAGGGCTGAAAATTTCAGGGTATACTGGGGATGGGTTATCCTCACATCATTGAAAATTTTAGCTCCATTTCTTGTGCTTTGGCTAGAGATATAACAACTTTATTAAACTTAACTGCAAATATCATTTTTACTTGCGATGGCTTTCCGTATCTGCAGCGGCATTCTGCCACAGTACTACATAAAGTCAAATATTTTTCTTTGTTTGAAAGAGCGTCAAAAATTACAGGCGCTACGAGGTTTCGTTAGTTTTTGAATTAAGCATTATAGTTATTATATTGAAAAGCACTTTTGTAATTAGAGCGACATTTTTTGAGAATATATCGAATGGTGGTCCACAGAGAATTCTCGAAGACAAAATGAGCAATTTTTAAGCCATTTCTGACTCTTGTTTGATGCGCATCTTCCTCGAACTAAATGTTATAGGGCTAAAAACTTAACCATAGCAGTCACACTACAGCCTCAACATATCCTGAAAACTTCATGCGATTTCAATGCACTTGACCTTGAGATCGACTTTTGAGAGAAAGGCCTTAAAAAACTTGATACAAAAGAAACATATATTATCTATCGATTCTGATATGTAATTTGAATTAATGTATTTATATGATGTAGTTTGTATATGAAGAAAAATAAGAATAAACATACCTTCTGCTTTTGAAGAAGTCAGACAAAATATTAATATACTTGTAGCTATTGATAGAATTGTAAAGAGAAAAAATGCACCCACACCTATGGCAGTTCGATGTCTTGACCAAAATGAGTTATCTCTAATAAAAGCATTTTACATATATTATGATCATTGAGAAGAAAAAAAATGATATACAAGTATGTTGGAGTTATTGGTGTCTTTTTTGTGTAAGCGACATTGACAGATTTCGCTGAATTAGATTGATTTTGTGGCGAGTTTTCATGTTGCTCCTTGTTGACGTGAGGAAATAGCTCATTAAATGGCTGTATGTGTCTGATAGCACCATCATTCACAGAATTTTCATTCATCTATAGCAAAATAATAATATTTAACAGAAGATAGTTTGCAGAACATAATCATTGATCTGAGAATGCTTTTCTAAATATTACCTTTTGTATTATTGATTGTATCTTTTCAGTATAGAGAAGCCGCAAACTCTTGGCAATTCACAAAATATCTAAAAGAAAAGATTCATTGCTTTAATCATTCTAATCTAGAGTTTTGAATGTCAAAAACATTTTTTCTTTTTTTGAAAACATTGTTCAAGCATTTTGTACAAATAGCTTCTTAATGAATACAAAAACATTCAGACTATAGTACACATCAAAAGGCTCGTACTACTTTTTTTGTTTTGACTCATCTATTAAAACTATACAACATTAATTTTATTTGGTTATATAATTGTATAGTAGAGATCGAGTACTACTATCTATACATATCTGTTGAATACAAAAAAAAAACTTCTTGAATATAAAATATAATAAAAATACACAAACTTTAATGTTAACAAAAAAATACAAAATGATATTGTTGTTATAAGTTTCAGTAGTTTGCGTAAGATGCCAGTAATTCAAAAATCGAGTAACATTTTTTTCTTTGATATTTTTACATGCTTTAATATAGAACTCGTCGAGTTTTATAAAACTGTCTATATTATTAATTCTTTCAATCCCTTTTTGAAATGAAATTTACAAAAAACTCGCATTTTTTTATACGAAAAAAAAACTTGTCGACTTTTCATATAAAGATATTTTAAAAAATACAAGTTTTTTGTACGTTCTTTACATCGCTTTTTTTTGTAAATTTATCCCAAAAAGAGCTTAAAAGTTGTTTAACACATTTGACCCGATGAGGTCCACCGGTGGACCCCACATTGCATTTCATATTTTAATCTCTAAATACGTTTTATTAAAAAAGTAACATATACCAGAAGATTCAGCGTGAAAAGCTCAAGAATCTCCATAGTAAAGCTTATTTTAATTGTGTAATTTTGTTTTCAAACAAACTAAAACTCTGCATAAATAGTTTTCAAAGTTACGAAACGATCATTTTTTTGTTTATACGAATGTTAAATTTCGTTTTTCTTGTTTCATCTTTTTTATCAGCTAATATTATTTCGTAAGAAAAAATAAAATATAGCACAAGATGTAGTGTTAAACGCTCTCTAATCTACATCGTAAAATTCATTTTTTGTTTTCGAAAAAAGCAAAATTCTGTGCAATCAATTTTCGCAACCTCAAACATTGGTCACACACAATTTTAGTTTATTTTGAAAACAAAAAGCACACAATTGAGATAAGTTTTATGATGTAGATTGTAGAGTTTTTCATGCTGCATCTTTTGGTATGTTTTGTTTTCTAATAAAACATATTTAAAGATGTTAGTTTCTATGGAATTTGAATCGGGGTGAATGTGTTAAAATAAAACTGTTGTTTTTAAAATAGTAATAGTTAATTATTCTCGAATGTTCTAACTAATAATATTTATTTTCTTTAAATTCTTTCAATTTTAAATATAAAATGAAAGTATTAAAAAAATGATCATACTTATCTTATTTATTTTGTAGTATGTGTATATTTTAACTTTTCGTCTGAGTGTTTATTTTCACTGACAAATAATTTTTTATCTAATGAATAGTTTTATTTTTATGCATGCGTAAGCAATATGTTACTGCACAATTTACACATAATATTTTACCAACGAAATAAACAACACCAAAACAACACTATAGTGACATAAGTCCAATGAATAACATTCATATTCATATTCATATTATAATTTGATAGGCATGTGCGTATGTATACCTTTACTTTAATGACATAAACGAAGAAAGAAAAAAATCACTTCGAAATAAATGAGCGCGCTTTAAGAGTATGATTTTGGTACTAGTACAATTCGTCGCACGACAATTCGTCGCGATCAATTCGTCGCAATCAATTCGTCGCATGATCAATTCGTCGCAGAACAATTTGTCGCGTTCTGTTCGTCGCATATTTTTTTTCGTTCTGTCGTCGCAGATAAATTCTTTCCGTTCTGTTGTTCGCTATCTGTTTCTCCCATCTC